TCGGCGCAGCAATAACGGCGCCCGCTGCGCGAGTGGCCCAACCGAGTTCACGGGCGACTCGAGGCGAATCAAAACAACAGTGACGACATCCACAGAATCTACTCCAAGCGGCAGCGGTTTGCCCTCTTGCACCAGCCGTCTGTCCTCGCAGCTGCGGGGGGCCATCAATTCTCGCGCGTGCATGTCCGCGGCTGCGCTTGCCGGACAAAGCAAGCAGGGGGCCGCCCGCGGCCGCTGCATCGCCCAGAACTGCCTCGGCGCCTGGCGCCGCTCAACTCCACCCCTCGAGAGCAATGCCCCCCTGGGCGACTGCGCGCGCCCATCGACCTGGCGCCTCCCTTCCCGACAACATCAAGTCCGGAATGTTACCGTGAACGGTCAGGTTGACTCTATGTCCACCGGGCAAGAGTAATTATGGGGTTTCACCCGCAGGCCAATAGAAACTGAAAGCGCGGTCAATGCGCCGTTCCCCCACAGCATGTGCACTCGGGGTCTCGGGCATTACTAAAGCTTGAAATAACCATCTTTGAATTTTCGGCATGCCGCGCTGACTGAACCGAGGGCCCTACTGAACCCTCAGCAGCATTCAAAGTAATACCCAAAGATAATTTCACGAATCTCACACATAGCGTCGGCACTCCATATGAAGAGTTCAGCAATGAAACTAAAACAACATACCGTGTCAATAATGAAGAGCACTGAACTAAAACTAACATGATCAACCCCTCGATTGCCTACAGCAGCGTTGCTTTCCGATTCATTTTCCCACTCAAGCCACGACTTCCAAACCTCGCTCTCATATTCTGAAGCTCTTAACACGGATGAGAAAGATGATGCTCTCGATGTGAGACTTCACCCCCTGGAAAGCTTCCTGGGAATATCTATCAATAGTAAATGATAGGAGCTCCTTCCCATGACGGGCTCGCCTTTTCGTGGTAGTAGGTATTTCTCAACGCGGGTGAAAGCGAACCGAAAGGCCACGCGGGACGGAACGCTCCGTCTTCACGCAGTGACGCTTGAGAACGGTACCATATGCTGTTTTGATGGCTTCTCCCGGAAGCAATGTATCAAGTATGGATATTGAAATACCTTCCCTTTCTACCATGTCTGACATTGTAGCCGGTGCAGAGTCCACCGTGTCTCTGCAGTATCCCGCATGTAGATTGGGTTCTAAATCATCTTCGCCATTGGAAAACGACGCTTGCCAACACCGACCAGCAATTCAAGATATGTGCCGAGCCGCAGAAGGGCTGGACAAGCACCGTGGACGTTTGTCATCTCGATCTCCGGACGCCTACTCAATACAGGTCTTCGATGAGACCGATGACCTACTGAGAAGGCGCCAACACATCCATCGGATGAAATGATATTCAGCGCCCCCCAGAACCGATGGCTGAGCCACTTGGTCCCGGTGGTTGTCATCACGGATGTCCGGTCACCGAAGCGACGTTCATCCGATCAGTCCAACAATGGGGCATTGCCTTTGCCCTTGCCACTCCCTTTGCCGCTAGCAATTTTTTGGCTTCCTTTCGCACTGCCAGGGCCAAGCCCGGGTGCAGCATGAGACTTGGCGACGTTGGCCGCCGCGGACTCATCCTGTTTCCGTGTGCGTTCCCAGCCGATCTCCTTCCCCGCTTTCACCCGGACCGGCGTCCAGCAACGCTCGGGGGCCCTGGTCCCGGGGGCCGAGGCCCAGCGGCCCAGCGTCCAGCGTGGCCCAGGAGGGCCTGAAGAGAGCGTCGAGATGGCCCTAGGACGGCTCCAGGAGCGCCCAAAATGGCATCAAGAAGTGACTTGATGTGCAGCATGTTGAAAAATCTGCGCCTGCGGCGGGCTTCTTCAGAGCTCTGCAGAGTGCCGACGACCCCGCCGTCCCCTCACTCTAATCCGCAGCTGCGGTATGATTATCTCTGTCAGCGGTCGTTACCCAAGAGGGGTGTGTGGGGGCCCCCGATCAACAGTAACGTTTGGGCGGGGTCGGGCAAGTCGGGGCGGGGGTGCGCTGGGGGCGCCATATTATGTGCGCGAGCACCAGCGTGCGGGGGGGGACAGGACAGGACAGGACAGGTGCCGATCCCGCTGCCGGTGCGCGCGGGCACGGCAGCGCCTCTTTAAGAGGTCGGCGGCGGGGCCAGAGCCCCATCACATCTTCATGCCGTCGGTCCACCGGCGCCGTGGGCCATGCGGGCGTCGCTTGGCGATGCCTCCGGTGATATCCGGGTCCCACTGCAACGATCTGTATGACCACTTCCCAGCACTACCATTGTTGACATGTTGGACCAATTCAACCTTTCTCCTGCGTTGCATGTCCATCAAACTATCGTAGCCGAACTTGGTGTAAATATGTTCTGCCGTGTGAGTTGTTCGCCGTACCCAAGCTACCCAAGGTTCCAAACTTGATGTGCCGTATTGAATGTTGGTGTTGTTGTTCGTCCAGAACCTGCATCGTCACCGGGTCCTGGCAATTGCTTCCGTGGGGAACCAAGCATCATGCGTAGCATCCGTCGTTGCGCGGAACGCAATTTCTCCTCCAAAGAAACGGTCACTGTCATTGTCCAAGAAACGTGCGGGGGGGGGGGGGCGCAAGCTCCCCTCCTCCGTGCGGTGCTACGCGCCAGTGGAGGTCCGGGGTTTCTGTCAACCTCTGGCCTTCGGGGCCCCTCCAACGGGGACTCCACTAACGGGCACTTTGGCGAGTGACCCGGCGAATCTAACCCTCCTCAAGGTGGGCAACGCTGCAGTGCCAGACAGAGGCCCTACAGTGGCAACTTCTGGCAAACCTCCCAAGCACCCGTTACGGTGCCGCTGAGGCCTCTCCGCTGCCACCCGCCCGGGACGGCAGGATGGAGAGAAACTGCGGCCGAGGCTGCCGCGATCGGGGCTCCGCGTGTGCCGGCAAGGGGGGCGCCGCGTGCTGCGAGGCTCCTCCTCCTCCTCCTCGCTACGCTACGCGATCTCAAGGCCTGTTCGATTCGAAGCCTAACCTCCTCCTCCTCCTCCGTCAGGCTGGCTGGCTGTTCCGCGTCGCGTGAGGCTGTTTCGTGCGTGACGGCTGTGTCGAATGGTGCCTGCTTCCCTGAGGTCCGACGTTGCGGAAAAAAGGCAGCATCGCGCAGGAAAAGCTGGAGCCCCAGACCCCATCTTTCTACTGCGTATTTCAAGCCAAGTCGATGTGTGATACCCCCAGGGCCCGAAAACGGGCGGAAACGCCCGCGACGTTCGGGAACCACGACGAGGCCAAATCCGAGCGCGCAAGACGCTGCTGTCGCATCGCGTTCAACCATCTGGGGAACCCAGTGCCCCCGCACCAGAGATCACTCTTAGATGCAGCCGACTTCATCCCTCCCTCCGCCGACGCTCGGCGGACGGGCCGCCTTCCTCCCTCCTCCTTCGCGGCCGCCCTCTTCGATTTCCTTTCACCTTCGCGCCCCGGGCCTTGGCGCGCTCCGCTGGCACCGATCCCTGTGCCTGCCATCGCCGGCGCTAATCGACGCCAGTTCGACGCTAAATCGATGCTACATCGGCGCTAAAGCTGGAATCCCACCAGCCCTTTGGGCGTGAGTGGTTTAGGGAGCTCTCTCTGTTCTCAACCCCCCTTCTTCCCCTTCGGGGAGGGGTTTACCCCTCCCCCTACCCCCTCCCCCTGGGCCTGGGGAGGGACCCCCGCGCGTCGCCAGGGGGGTCTTTTTCGACTCCTGGGAGGGCTAAAAAACTACGACCCTGGCCCCTGTGCTCTTCTTTGAAGCCAGAATCATTGATTTTACTAGGGTTTTGGGCCCATTTTGGGCTTCTGAGGGGGCAGCGCTCATCGTCCGTCATAGCAAAATCATTGATTTTACGAAGGTTTTGGGCTCATTCTGTCCTTCTCAGGGGGCAGCGCTCATTTGCGCTTCTGAGGAGGTCGCAAGAGGCCCCAAAATGGCCCCAAGAGGCCCCCAGGAGGCTCCCAAGAGGCCTCCAAGAGGCCCCCAAGAGGCCCCCAATAGGCCCCAAGAGGCCCCAAGAGGCCCCCAAGAGGCCCCCAAGAGGCCCCCAGAGGCCCCAGGCCCCCAAGAGGCCCCCAAGGCCCCCAAGAGGCCCCCAAGAGGCCCCCAAGAGGCTCCAAGAGGCCCCCAAGAGGCCCCACGAGGAGCCCGAACGACTCACACCAGGACGAGGGGCCCGAACGACTCACACCACGAAGAGCCCGAACGACTCACACCACAAGGAGGGGCCCGAACGACTCATCATCAGGACGACTCACGACTCACACCATCACGAACGACTCACACCAACGACTCACACCACGAGGAGCCCGAACGACTCGACTCGAACGACTCACACCACGAGGAGCCCGAACGAGTCACACCAGGAGAGGGGCCCGAACGACTCACACCAGGACGAGGGGCCCGAACAACTCACACCACGAGAAGCCCGAACGACTCACACCAGGACGAAGAGCCCGAACGACTCACACCACGAAGAGCCCGAACGACTCACACCAGGAAGAAGGGCCCGAACGACTCACACCAGGACGAGAAACCCCAAACGACTCAAACCACGAGGAGCGTTTTCTCTCCCTCCTCCTCCGCCTCGTCCTTCTCCCGCTCCCACCACAAGGAGGATGTACAAGGAGGCGGGAGGAAGGAGGAACAGGGGAGATATGCGGGGGCAGGCGGAAACACGCCTGAACAACACGACTGTCGGCATGCTTCGCAAGAGTTGCTGTTTTGAGATGGGCTGACTGTCGGCATGCTTCGCAAGAGTTGCTGTTTTGAGATGGGCTGGTGGGGATACGCGAAGCGTAAAGAATTTCGAGGACACACCACTTGCCATCGCTCGGACGCCCATTCTGGATGCATGTTTCCGTCTTGCGCGCGCCCTGTTCCACGAGAGGCCCCCCAGATGCTCCTCGATCGCCCCCGCCGAAGACAAGATGCACACGTCCGAGCGATGCCAAGACGTGAGGCCCCCATGATCTGCTGCCGAAGAGGCCCCGGCCGAAGCTGCGGCGGGGCGGCCTGCGCGCCGCCCGCGCCCTCCGTGGGCCGCCCGCGCGGCCGGAGCACCACCGCCCGGGCGCCTCGGCGGCGGCCCCGCTGCGCCGTGAAGGGCGACGACGCCCGACGGACGGGCGAGGACGGCGACGAGTTTGGGGCGGAGGGGACAGGGGGCCCTGAGGACGAGGGCAAGCAGGACGCCGATCGCTTGGAACGACGACGGTGATGATCCAAAACGGCGACAGCGACGAGGGCAAGGACGACGACGATGATCTGGGGCGGCGAGGGCGACGACGATGATCTGGGACGACGTCGGCGTCCGTCGGACGGACAAAGACAACGGCGGGACGACGATGATTTGAAACGGGTCCCTGAGGTTGTTCCCCTCGCTCTTGGGCCCTACTAGGGCCCAAGAGCGAGGGGAACAACCTCAGGGCCCTCGCAGAGGGCCCAAGAGCGAGGGGAACAAACTCGCTCTTGGGCCCTACTTGGGCCCTACCAAAGCCCTGGGATCGTCAAGCAGCGACTCGGGATGAAGAGCTGGACCTCGCAAAGGGCCCTGGGGTCTATGGGACCCGTGACTGTCAGGACCGGGTCGCCCTCCTGCCAAAAACGACGACGACGCCCGACGCCCGACGCCGGTCGAGGGTTTGGGCCTTCGCTCGCCGCCACGGCCGGACGCAGCTCGAAGAGCTGGCCAGGATGGGCTCCGGAAGAGGCCTGAGGGCCGATGTCGAGCAGATGCTGGTCGGAAGACGACGACGGGACTGAATACTTGTTGGCGGCGCGCGCACGCTAGGGGGGAATGCTTCTTAGAAGGAGGCCGCTTCTCAGAAGGCGCCCGCCCTGCATCTGTAGCGAAGGCCCGCGCTTTCTGAGAAGCAGGGTACTTCTGAGGAGCCTTGCCCCCTCCCCCGACCTCCTTCCAAGTGCGCGTTCCACTCGGCACCAGACTTCACGCAGGCACTCAGGCAGGCAGTGGGGGTGGAGGAGATGACGAGGCCATCGTCGCGATCGCGGAGTTCTGCGCGCGGCTGGCGCTGCTGCGGGGCAGGAGGAAAAATATTAGGCCCGAGCTTCTCTCGTGTCCGGCGCCGGCTCTGCGGGAGTGGAGCGGCGCAGTCGGGCAGTGCCTGCCTTTCCACTCCCTTCCTTGCTCCTGCGCCCGCGCGCAGCGCACTCTCACCACAGCCAGCGCCAGACAGGATAGCGAACGGCCTCCTGTCGGCAGAGGGAGGGCCATAACCATGTCGACGCAAGCCAGTCTGAAGGGGCGACGTGGCCGCCGGAAGCTCACCCAGAGCGCCTGCGAAAACGCCAAACGAGGCATCCCAGTCACAAGCTCGAGATGGTCATTTGTTGAATTGTGCGCGGTGTCTGGTCCCAGACATGCGCCATCATTATTTTTCGATACGGGCTCCCTGGAAGTCCCGACCCCTTCCCTGGGACCGTCTTTTCATCCTGAATCGTTTTTTGACGGTCCCATGGCCTGGCGAGAGCCCCCAAAATCAGAAAATTGCCGAAAACATCCAGTCGTGATTTTCAAGGACGCGAGCAGCAGGAGGAGCAGGGGAGGCCGAGGGCAACGAGGGGGAGGAGGAAGACGAAAACCAACCCTGCCGACAAGTGTCCAGGCCTAGATGTGGCAAAGCTGGGGGAGGCCGTGGCCCCGGGTTTCTGCGTGGGCAATGCGTGCGGCATCACACGGGCCAACACGCATGGAACGCACGGGACAATAAGAGAGCAGGTTGGGGGAGGATGGGGAAGTCCTTCATGCGGGTGTCGACGAGTTCATGGCTCCGACCCGTCCTCCCTGACGAAGTCGCTGTGATGGACGGACATTCGTGTCGGACGGCCGTGTTGACCATAGTGCTCTCGAACACATGTCGTTCAAACGTCACTGTGCCCGCCGTGGAAAATAACAGCGGAACACACACGTGACGTAGAATTTGTTCCGCTGGCTTCCGAATTACAGCCGATGGTCGCTGTCGTCGGATTCGGTGGCCCCCCCTTTCCTTGAGCATCGTTTAGCCGGTCCCTCTCCCCACTGGCGTGGCATTGGCCCAACTGGCCGACTACCCCGCCCAGGTGGGGATATATATGCATGCTCCTTCGCGGGTGACAAGTTTACAAGAGACGTCCTCGTCCATTCGGCCATGTTTGAGCTTGTCAATGGGCCCCACTGACAGATTATTGGGCGTTGCTGGGCCCGGAACGGCGTTTTTGTTCTCATGACGACCTATATGATTGACTGTTTTATTTTTGTCCGACAATCGAGGTTGAATTCGTTATGTTCCTTTTCCACGCGTTTCTGCAAATGGCTCAGCAGCCATTCGTAAGTTTTGACATCAGTCCCAACCTTTGCGTTGTTGAGCTCGTAACATGACATTGCTGGTTGCATCTTGGGCACGATCTTCATTTGCTCGCTGAAATGCTCATTGGTCGAAGCTGCCATCTCTGGAGATGGCCTGCCCCCCCGGTAAAGTTCAAAGTTCACATTGGAGAGACATCCATTTGTCGTAGAAATGATGCAAGTGTTTCTCGGGGCGAGTCTTGCTCATGACTATCCTAGATCTCGACACATGTACTTCCTGCCGTGTTCCGCGCGCACAGACAGCCAAGTACCAATTAGACGCGTCATCTCCCGCCCCGTGAGTAACACCGACTCGTCATAAGCATCCTACTCCATTCGGTCAACCTGGGAAATGAGATGCGTCTGCTGTGCCGGCAGATCCTTCTTGTGTCTCACGTTGGAGAACTTCTCAGTCGAGTCCAAGGTAATCAACGTATCAAGGCGCACAAGCGCACAAGCCTTCCTGAGTCCCTACGGGGTAAAAAGATCCTCTTCTGGGCGCAAAGCCTCAACAATCCAAGGCCTGGCGCCTCTCGCATCCGGAGATGCGGAAAATCCGATTCTCACCGCGTGAGATTTCCAGTCACGAAGCTCCGTTGGCAGATGCATAGGCCAGAACTTGATCTCTGCGGCCCTTCCCGCCTGTCTCCAATACTGTAGTCAAGAGGGTCGCGGGCAAAGGCTGGCGGTCCTTGATCTCCACCGCCTCCGCCTCCGCCTCCCGCGCCCCCACCCCCGGGCGGCCCCCCGTCTCCTCATTTTCCACCCCCGGTTGAACCGGGGGCGTTCGGAGGTGAATTGAGTATCTCATCGGGAGCGTTGGGTGTCTTCTCGGAGGATCCTGTGGCGTGTCCACCAATTCTGGAGAGCTCGGCATTCCTGCGAAGAAATGCTCTAAAGCTTCGGGAGACGTCCAATCCACGTTCTTTGGTTTAGGCGAATCATCCGGAGGTTTTCCCTTCTTCATACACTGTTTGCCTTCTTGAGTTTTTCTTGTTCCCCACATCCTGAGTGTGGTTCTTGTTTTCCTAGAACAACATATCCTTCTCCTTCTTCTCCTTCTTCTTCTCCCGCCTTCCTACCATACCATACCACACCACCTACCATGCCATACCACACTGACAATACCAAAACTACCATACAATGCCAAAACTACCATACCATACCTACCACTCCAAGGAAGCCACGCCGGAGCGAGGACAGTATGGGGATACCATACCATTTACAAAGTTTCGTGCCCCCCCCACCCTTCCAGGGAGGCCTCGCCTGAGCGAGGAGGGCATTCAGCCCAAACCGTGCTATTTATCAGGCTTCGCGTCCCTCCCACTCCTTCAGGGAGGCCCCGCCTGAGCGAGGAAGGTATTCGAAAACCATGCTATGTATCAGGTTTCGTGCCCCTCCCACTCCTCCAGGGAGGCCCCGCCTGAGCGAGGAGGGTATTCCAAAACCAAGTTGTATATCAGGTTTCGTGCCCCTCCCACTCCTCAAAGGAGGCCCCACCAGAGCGAGGAGGGTATTCGAAAACCATTCTATGTATCAGGTTTCGGGCCCCTCCCACTCCTTCAGGGAGGCTCCGCCTGAGCGAGGAGGGTATTCGTAAACCATGCCATTTATCAGGTTTCGGGCCACTCCCACTCCTCCAGGGAGGCCCCGCCTGAGCGAGGAGGGTATTCGAATATCAGGTTTCGGGCCCCTCCCACTTCTCAAAGGAGGCCCCGCCAGAGCGAGGAGGGTGTTCGAATACCATGTTATTTCTCAGGTTCGTGCTACTTCCACTCCTCCAGGGAGGCCCGGCTTGAGCGAGGAGTGGATTCGAAAACCATGCTATGTTATCAGGTTTCGTGCTCCTCCCACCCCTCCAGGGAGGCTTCGCCTGAGCGAGGAGGGTATTCGAACAACATCTTATGTATCAAATTTCACGTCCCTCCCACCCCTCCAAGGAGGCCCTGCCTTAGCGGGGAGGGTATTCGAAAACCGTGTCATGTATCAGGTGCCGCGCCCCTTCCCACTCCTCCAGGTAGGCCTCGCCTGAGCGAAGAGGGAATTCGAAAACCATGCTATGTATCAGGTTTCGCGCCCTCCCACTCCTCAAAGGAGGCCCCGTTTGAGCGAAGAGGGCATTCGCAAAACCATGTTATTCATCAAGTTGTGTGCCCCTCCCACTCTTCCAGGGAGGCCTCGCCTGAGCGAGGAGTGTATTCGAAAGCCATGTTTGTTATCGAAGTTCGCGCCCCTCCCACTCCTCCAGGGAGGCCCCGCCTGAGCGAGGAAGGTATTCGAAAAGACATATTATTCATCAAGTTGCGTGCCCCTCCCACTCTTCCAGGGAGGCCCCGCCTGAGCGAGGAGTGTATTCGAAAGCCATGTTTGTTATCAGGTTTCGTGCCCTTCCCACTCCTCAAAGGAGGCCCCTTCTGAGCGAGGGTATTCGGAAAACCATGTTGGTTACCAAGTTTTGTGACACTTCCCACTCCTCCAGGGAGGCCCCGCCTGAGCGAGGAGGGTATCCGCAAGCCATGTTATGTATCAGGTGTCGTGCTCCTCCCACTTTTCCAGGGGGGGGCCGCCTGAGCGAGGAGGGTATTCGAAACCCATACTGTCTCAAGGTGCCGCGCCCCTTCGCACCCTTTCCACAGGGGGGGCCGACAGAACGAGGAGACTAATCCCCCCACCCTCCTTGCCTTACTTGCTCTCCCGCCTTCCCCTCCATCGTCTTTGTTTCTTTTACCC